ATTTTGGGAAGAAACAAGAATGTATTTCTTCCCTAGTAGAAATAGCTGGTTGGTAGGTAGGTCTTTCTTCAGATATTAAAGCCAAACTCAAATATTTTTGTGAAAAATACGCTTGCAGTGCACCCCTGCCAGTTGACTGCTCGGTAAGTCCATGGGTAGAGGAATAAGCTGTAATACCTTTCTCACTGTTTGCTATATCAAGCCTTCGGAGCGCCAGCATAAGTGGTTACACTCTGACATCATCATGTACAATGCAGGACCAGCAATCCTGCATTCTACGTGAGGATAGCGGGTCCTTGCCATCCTCACGTAGAATGCAGGATTGCTGGGCCTGCATTGTACATGAGGATGCCAGAGTGTAACCACTTACATTGCAGGTAATCGCCCCCAGCCCTGCGATTTCAGCGCTCCCCTCCGTCACCAGTGCTTCCATATTCTCACAGTCTACTTCCAGGTTCGGCCTCTTGATTGGCTGGGCTGCGATGATGTGACTCCTGCACACTTCAAGATATCCCCTTGTTTATGTGCAGCTTGATATTCATGTAATTGATTCTTATTGTGACTAATGACATGAGTGTATTCCTCTCTCGCAGCCTTCAGACCCCCCCCTGCGTGACTTCCTTGATATTTTGTTGGCAGATAGAGGCGTGAATGAATGAATAATTGCTTGCGTTTATAAATGCATGCTTTAGCCTAATGTGCACTTGTTAATGGTTTTAGTAATCTGAGCGGCTGCTATTTCTTGACTTTTAGCGGTACAGTCGTCTGTGGCAAACCTCCAATTTACCTGATTATTTATCAGCATGCTGATTACCATACAGAGGTAGCTCACATCTCATGTTAACTGGGAAGAGTAGCTTAACACAAGGCAGATATAAAAACATAATTTAATCCAGTTATATAGAACGCAGCAGAACTCGGAGAGCGAGGGGCAATAGTTTAGGCCAATCAGTGCTGCTTTGATTTTCACAATGCTTTTAGTCTCTTGTTAAACATAATTACTAGAGATGCACTGAAATCTCTCCGAAAATGGTACTGCGGGCAAAATGCCAATAGTACTAAAAATTAATTTTAAAAAGGTTGGGAAAAAAAGTAATATTCGGTTTCGGCCTGACAAAATTAGAAATATCGTTTTTGGTCTAAAAATTTAATTTCAGTGCTCCTAATAATTTCAGGAGGGTAAAGCACATGAATGACTTCAGTGTGCTGCAGCGTACTTTTCTGTACTTGCTTGAGGCAAAGCAAGTACAGAAAAGTATCTGTCTGCCAAAAACCCAGTGAGCTCCTAACATCCTATAGGGAGCTGACAACGCTGCCTCTGCTGCACTGAAATCCCAAGCAGTGTTGTCAGCCCTGCCCCTTCTCCTTTTTGGCCTACATAACTCCTCCCTCTTCAGGAAGTTGTTGAAAGTGATGGGCAGACGGGAGGCAGCACTCGCTACATTTTCAAGTAAGGTTTGATTGCATTATGAAAAACAACTCTACTATATATTCCTTCTTACAATGCTGATGTTATAACAGGAGAGGAGATGCTGCTGGGACAACTCTTAAGTTTACCAGTAAAAGGTTTCACTTAAACGGTAATTCCACTTTTCACTCCCCCCACCCCCCTTTAAAAAGACTGCCGCCAGTTCGCTTTTACGGGCTGGTGAACGGGTCCCGACACCCCCACCGTGTTTCCCGGGCTCCGTTGCCCCTCCTACGAGCTCGTGACCGGCTTCTTTGGTGTCGGCGGGAAGCTGGGGAGGAGATGGCCGATTCCCTCCCCGTTCTATTGGACCGCATCACTTCCGGTCCCATAGCTGTCAGTGCTGGGCATCTGAAGCCCAGCTGTTAGCTATTGAAGTGGGATCTGCACTTCAATAGCTTACTGAGAGTGTAAAGGTGACACTAGGGGTCTTCTGGGCCCCCAGCATCACCTTGAAGAATACCTGTCACCACCATCTGCTATCACATGGGGGGCTTGTAAGCCCCCCTATGTGATAGCAATTAAAGTAAACAAAAAACATTAAATACAATAATTGTAAACATTTTTTAAAGTCCCCCGCGAGCACACGTCTTCACGTAAACACGCGCCAGTTGCACCTACGTATGAAAACGACGAACGTGCTACACATGCCTCAGTCACGAAGGGGTTGAACCCCAAACTTCCTGCATGGGGGAGTAGTGGCAGATCAGTAGATTACCAAATAATGATTAGATTGTTTCTTCTTTAAGTTTACACGACAAGATCAACAGGTATTTTCTGTACTTGCTGAAAATGTTCTTATCCAGAATAAAGAAAACGAATGCAGCCGCCACATCTAAGGTGCATTAAAGTGACATTAAAGGATATTTTTTTTCCCCCTCCCCCCAATGTTAATGTCAGCACTTACCTTAAATGATGTCTCTTAATCCGATCTTCCTCTTCTTTCCCCATGTTTTCATCTGTCCCTCCAGTGGTGCGGCGGCTCTCCGATCCAGCGCTGACTCCTCTCTGCTTGCAGGCACTTCCGATCCAGCGGGGTCTGCTTGCGGGTACACCCGTCCATAGACTTACCTTGCGTCTCTCCTAGTCTCCCGGCCGAGAATCCGAACTGCGCATGCACCCGCCCCAAGATCCTTTGTGGCCGGCCAAACAGTTTCGTTTTCTCGGACGGGAGTGTGCAGTGAAAGCGAGGTAAGTTTAAACCGCTGTTTCAACTTTTTGCCTATATCTACTGCTTGCTAGCAGTAGATATAGGCGAAAAACGGGGGGTTTAGGACCCCTTGAAGCTACAATATGTTAGTTTTTTTGTTCTTGGGTTTAGTTCTTCTTTGATGCCAGCCCTGTAAGCAGGACTTGTCTTTCATCGGCTTGTCCCTTTAATGCAGTAACAGAGAAGCCGCAGAGCCTGCGGGATGAAGATAGGTGCGGCGAGCTCACGAACACCTGCAGGTGCGCCGGCTCTGCTGTAGCAGCCGAGAGGAGCAACTTGTACTGCTGAATAATTTACAGCATATTGACAGACACTATAATACATTGAGATTATAATCACTCTTTCCCGGCACAAATCCTCTAGCTGCAAGAATTTCTCTTTTCTGCATCCACACAAGAGCTAATTAGAATTCATTGAAATACGGACTATTTTATTTCCATCCAGGTCTGCGGAGGAGATTTCTGTCCCTGATAACTAGCTAACAAATGTACGCGCGTCGCATTCGCAGCGCCAATGCAAATGTTCCATTTTTTTTATCTTGAGGGCCGCTGACTGACACAGCCGCCTAAATTTAAGTTTTATTGTTAGGGGGGGATACCAAAGCAGAGGGAATGGCTGAGTCGCCCGCATCAACCAATGAGAATCTATTTGTAATTTTGTGCTGCTGCTTAGGGTCATGCTTTACAAAATGTCATGACACCGGTCTGTGTCTAAGGCCCCCGAGGCACAGAAGGGGATAGCATCATGCTCGGGGCATTTGCCCTCTGTGGCGGATATGGGCAGGGCGGATATTTATTATTTGCCCTTTGTACCGCGCTTATTGTGCTTTATAACCTCAGATCTTTATGGCTTCACTGATGCCTCCACCAAAAATAATGTGCGCATGGGGTGTGCCTGGGCACACCCTAATCACTCTGAGTGCAACACCGAAACCGCAACAGCAAGCAACCTTTTTTAGTCCCTGAGCCGGTGGAGAGATCACAAAGAGCTCTCTGTGACTGGCTCAGTGATACAGAGCGCAGCAGCACTTGCCACTTACATTCCTCACATCACAGCCACAGTCCTCGGTGCCTGGGAAGGTGTGAGGGAGCGTGCCTGCGGCCTAATATCCAATCAAGATGCTGGATGGGTGGTCACATGACCACCTGCCAGGCTCTACGTTTCATTACTGCACCCCTGCTGCGGGTGTTTGTACTGTTGTGTCCATAGCCGAATGCAATGGGCTGCGCACGCCTCTGAATGTGAAACGTGTTTTACACTTGATGTAGATTGGAGACTTGTCTATCTATCTATCTCAGGGGTAGGCAACCTCAAAACTCCAGCTGTTGTGAAACTCTGCCGCTTGGAAGCATGCCTGTGGCTGTCAGAGTCTTGCAATGCCTCATGGGACTTGTAGTACTACAACAGGTGGAGTGCTATGGATGAATACCCCTGTTATATAATACTGGAAATCTGCACCTCCATTTAAAGCTGAAGTCCAGGTAAATGCCAAAATCCACCATTGAAATGTGAGCTTACCTGGAAACGAATTTGTATTTCTGCCTATCCCCACAGCCCTGTCATATAGCATAATCAAGAGTGTAACTGCAGTTAGGAAACACAGCTTACCACCTCTATGTAATACTCCCCACCCCAGTGATCTCTATGCCCTCTCCTCCTATCACCGTGTTCATTCTCAGCACTAGTGATGTGCATGGGCTTGGTACGCACAGAGTGCCCGTGCAAAAAAGTCAGCGAGGGCCCAATCGGTTGCGGCTGGAGCAACCCGCAGCCACACGTTACAAAGGGGCAGAGAATGCCCGAGCTGTAACTGATTGGGCCGGTAGGGGGTATGTGTCACTGATAGTTATGCGTGGGTTTGGGTGAGTCTTCACAAAACCCATGCACATCCCTACTTGGCACATTCGCATGCAGGGCACTTGATTGGCTTGCAGCTCTCCCAGTCCGAGTGTTGCCGTATAGAGGATTTCAGGAGGCTGGATTCTGTACTTTGTCTGTACTGGCATCCATGCAGGCATGGCTACCATTAAAAATTCAGCATATCCCAATGGCAGAGCTGAAGACCGGTGTAAGGATTATAATTGGGTTTCAAGGGAATTCTGAATTACATATACATAATGAAGCAAAGACTTCTGTTGCAATAACGTTATAGAGACACTTTTTGTATGCGACGGGCTCACTTAATGGCATTGTGTTATTTGTCATTCTCAGCGTGGCCATAATCAGGAATTAGCTGTAATCATAGAAGGATCTATGTAATTCGTCCTTCATGTACATTCGGACTCACAGCTTTTTTTCCTCTGATTTGTCTCTCCTGTCCAGGCGCATTGACGATGACAAAGGGCGGACGCATGAGCTGGAACATTCTGCAATCAAATGCATGAGAGGGATACTGTACTGTTACATGAGACAAGCTGATAAGGTAAATCACTCGGGCTGGCTCAGCCGTGCCACTGTTGACATTGAACCGAAGGCGTAGGGGACAGCAGTGCAAATCACAGCATTTTAGATAACTGAAACTTTGTGTTTTTTTTTTTAAAATGGTCCAAAGGAATTCACCTGTGCTGAAGTTTCATCTGCTTATATTTTGTATTTATTGATCCCCCCTCCCTTCATTAACATGCTAATTATTCTTAAGATAAAACCTTGGCATTTTCATTACCTACCTCATTTTAGACCCTGTGATGTAATCACTAGGTCCCTATACTTCTGCTGTGCAATGCAGGTAAATTATGGCTGGTGGGAGGGGCCAGCAGGGGGCTGTACATAGCTTCTTGAAAACATCACAGCACCCTGCCTCAGTACTATTCCCAAGAGCTCTCAGACCTGATGCTAGCAGTGGGAGGCTTTATTTAAATATAAAAACAACTCGATGGATGTCAGTCTGGAGAAGTTTGCATTTTTTGTACGATCCACCCAGTCTCCCTACCTTTTTTTTAATAAATTATTTTATTGAACATTTTTTAAATCCATTACATATGGAAACAACAAAAACATATACAATTCAGATACATTGTTGAGGTAAAGGGGGATATCAGGAACATAAGGAGATATCACAGAACGGGACAATCTCGGTCTAAATGATCAGACTAAGTAAGGGAAGGCACTGCGCTCCTGAGGTGCCAGTGTCGGAAAGATCGGAGAGCCGTCACAGCAAGGTGGTAATTACATTCAGTCATTACGGCATCTCAGGAGTATCAGAACTTGAGAAGCTGGTTACTACCGACACTCCAGGGGCTAGCTCCAGTGCGTGACCGAGGAAACGGGGATGGGGGGAGAGACATACATGGGGATGGAAAGGTAGTACAAATGATGGACAGGTGATGGGGAAGGGAGAGGCCTAGGCTGAGGGGGGGTGGGCCAGGGGGGAAGAGATGAGGGGTTGCAGGCTTTACTCAAGCGGCCATGATACAACAATATTCGGCTGTTGTGGTGAATTTGGACCAATAGAACCAGGTGGTAGCGAATTTGGAGGAGGTACCTTTAATGGAGCTGGTGAGGTCCTCCATGGCTCGAATGTCATTGACTTTAGTGAACCAGAGTTTGAGTGAAGGTGAGGCTTCCTGTTTCCACAGTAGCGGTACACAGGCCCGCGCTGCATTAATCAGATGTATCTGCACTGAGCGTGACAGTCTCCCTACCTTACGAGAACTGGAGTGGATCCTCTGCTTGGAGTCCAGTGCTGGGCTGCTATGCTGTGACGGAGCTCCATCCATACATGCATTGCATGCCCTGTAGAGGTGCCGGGAGCCAGAATGTGACGTCACTCCGGTCCAGGCACCTCTACAGGGCACGTGAGGGAACTGTAAGCATTGCACGTATGGATGGAGCTCCCTCGCGGTCATAGCTCCAGCCCACCCCACCTCAAGCTGACACTCGGCGCCAGGCAGCATACTTTGAATGGCTGCTCAGCGCAAGAAATGACATTGCTACGCTAGGGGGAGTCTAAGGAGCCTCTCACCTAGAAAAGTGGAAGGCACATGGCGACCCACTGAACACGGGGTTGCCACCCACTTTTGGGTCACGCCCCACCAGTTGAGAACCAAGGCTCTAATGCACATTGTGAGAAGCTCGCATTGTGCAGTGAAATCAGAGGAAGCCATTTCAGTCCAGGAGAGGAGCTGGTACAACTGTGCAATACTGAAGTTAAGGCCGGAGTTATATGTACAGTAATTGCTACCTAAGCCTATTTGTAATCTAGTGTTAATCGAAATAAATTTTTTCATTAAATCTTTCGTTAGTTGAGATTTTTTTTTTTTAAATTTGCATTTAAATCCTTGCTGTCACCAAGGAGACCGTCTGAGATATCCACCTCCTCAGTGTGCACTTCCACTCCTGAGTCCTGTCCGGCCCCATACTCATCCAATAAAAGCAAACCGTTCCACAGAGTAACATCCAGAAGATGGGTCGGCTTATTTAATGAACAGGAGACAGGTTGTGTGTTCCTCCTTCTCATTTAATAAACCTACAGATCTTTTGCATGTTACTCCATGGACCTCTTTGGTTTTTTTCTAGTGATTTTCTTACACTAGAAAAAAATAATAATCAGATGTGATTTTCCCTGTTTGAGAATATTTTGTACAGCTAAGGTCTGATTAGTAGCTATGGAGATATTTTCCTTTCCTCCTTCTCTTATAATTATGTTTTAAACTGAACCTGCCATTGAATTCTACTATTCAAATCTGTTTCAGAACTAGAGGCAGCAAAATTGGTCTGAATGTACCTTTTAGCCCTCATTCACACGAGAAATGGCCGGCACGTACAGCTCCGTGCTGCGTGCACTGCCGTATCGGGCAGCTCCCGGGAAGGACAGGTGCTGCGTGTGATTAGTACGCAGCCCCTGTCCTGTAAGAGTACGCGGCCGTACGCTGCCCTACGCTCACTTGCCCTGCATGTACGTGCGGGTGTCCGTATTAGTACGCTGACAGGATGGATCCTGTCTGCGTCGGAGCCAGGACACCCGCACCCGTACGGACCTGCACTTGGGGTGAGCGTAGGGCGGCCTATGGCCGCATACTCCCATAGAGACGGACAGGGGCTGCATACTAATTACACGCAGCACCTGTTGTTCCCGGTAGCTGCCCGATACGGCCGTGCACGCAGCACGGAGCTGTACGTGCCGACCTTTTCTCGTGTGAATGAGGCCTTAACCTCTTGCCGTCCGCCCGTAGTAAAAAAACGGATGGACGGCACTGCTGCATTTGCGGGTTGCCGTCTCCAGACGGAAAAAAATTTCTGCTCGCGCACGCCCCCTAGCGGGCACGCACGGGCAGAAAAAAAATAAAACCCCCAGTGGTGAATAAATACCACCAAAAGAAAGCTCTATCTGTCCCCAAAAAAGGGTATAAAATTCATTTCAGTACAGCGCTGCATGACGGAATAAATGTCAGTCAAAGTACCGCAGCGCTGAATACTGAAAAATGGCCTGGATGGGAAGGGGGTTTAACACCGCGGATGTCAACTGGTTAAAGAAGTTGTAAAGTCCCAGCATATACTGTACTATCCTGTTATAACATCAGCATTGTAATAGGAATACATACTGGAGTTGTTTTTCATAATACAATCAAAGCTTACCTGAAAAGATCCCTTTTATGTAGTGAGCGCTGCCTTCTGTCCTCCCATCACTTCCAACAACTTCCTGGATTCCCAGTGTGCTTTGCATCTCTTTCCCTGCTACTTGATGTGATACAATCGCTGGGACTGTAATAGTGCATATTCACATGGCTGAGTGAAATGGTGTCCGTGCATTGAGGGAGTCCATCCTATGGGCATCGTTGTTCGGTGTATCTACTGGGGGCAGAAACTTCAGAAGAGGAAAGGCATAAATCATAGTATACTTGTCCCATGCTACTACCAATATGTCTGTTGTGTCCACCCACGAATCCCGTGTTCTGGCCACAAACCATGGCACCTTCCGATGGAGCATGTAGGCCAGCAGATCCGTGTCCAGAGGGCCCCACCAAAGCCAGATCTGATGAAAGTGCCGAGTCGAAGTTGAATAAACTACTCACCATGGTCCCAACTTACAGGATGTGTGTGTGATGTCACCTCTCTTAATGCTTCATTCTTTTACTCGAAATCGCAGGAGAATTGATTCCTGAGATGGGTTGGGAAGCATTCTCATAGGCTTTAGAGTGTCCAACTATCCCAGGAAGCAGCAATAACGTATTGTGCTTCAACCTTGCCTTCCAGTATCAGGGACCAAGGTTAGTAGTTTTTATTTTTTTTGCTAAATGTTTATTTCTCTTCCCCGTTCATTGAAGGACACAGCTGGATCTCTTAGATTTTGACTGATTGGGTCTGGATCGGGGAAGTGGTCTCTCCATCAGATGGTGTTTCATCAGATGTGTCGTCAGTGGGCCAATCCAGACATGCATCTGTTGGCCTCCAGGCTCAATTAGAAGGAGCTGCAGTTTGTGGCCAGAAAATTTGGGCAGAAACTTTAGAGGAGGACAGGCGTAAATCAGAGACATGGTGCTACAAATGCGCCCGGCCATGGATCCTGTACTGTAGCCACAAACTGCAGCACCTTCTGATTGAACCTGGAGGCGAGAAGATACTCGTCCAAAGGGCCCCAACAAAGATAGATCTGATGAATCACTGCCTGGTGGAAAGACCACTTCCCCCCCCAATCCAGACCCCGACAGTCAAGTTCTAAGGCATCAAGCTGTGTCCTTCAATGGACGCAACGAAAAGGTGTTTTTTCTTTCTTTACTGGTTGTATGGTGGGGGGGCTGGCAGGGAAGTGGACCTTCTGATTTCATTTCTGGAGTTCAGATTTAAAAGTCTGAAAGTGCAAGAACTGTAGAAAAACTGGCCCTTTGGTACTCCGTAGGGATGTCTCCTTGGCACCTCATCATTTTTACATTGGTATACAATAAACTTTTCATTAATACTAATAAAAGAAGATGTGTAAAGACACAAATCTCCAGGCTGTTGACAAACTGAGCTCATTTAGGCCACTATTCTTCTTTATTCACTTAAAAGCTATAAATTCATATAACAGCTGGTATCGTATAAAAAATGAATATCATATACAAATCTGAAAAGCAGATGGTATGCAAAATATACGAGATAAAAGGAGGACAAGCGGAAAAGGAATTACTGGAATCACACTAAGCTGAATTGAACCACAGATTAGCTGAACTTGATATAAATGGATAAGTGGTTTTCTTTATTTTAAGCCAAAGATTATTAAATATATATTTCTGGAGAATAATGTGCGTGAATTCATTATAGTTGGACACAAAAATATAAAAGACCATTTTCAAGGACAGCCAATCAGATGTGCGCTGAATAAAACCCTGTATATCCCATTCAGTTTATCAAGATCCTCACATGTTCTTCAGTGTGACCCAAAATTCCCTTACTATACATTAGAGCGGAAGTCCTCCTAATATTATATGTGGGTGGCCGCTGGTCCAGCATTGTAGGTGAGGGCTCACCCACATTCGAGGCAGCCAGCTGAACGGTCCTCTTTTCTTCAACCTTGACGTCATTACATGCAATGTAGGACCAGCCATGGCTGGAGCACCTCAATGTTAGTTCCCCCTTGACAAATAGGCATATTATCCTGTATATGCTGGTTGGGGATGTCTACAGTTTTATTTGGAGGTGGGGGGGGGGGGGGAAGCCTACAGTTGGGTTTTGAATTAAACCTGACACAAATTAGGGCATGTCAAACCACCCAAATGCTTGCATGTGACGGCCTTCTACAGTTGTAACAAAAATGGCAGCAGCCATAATCTTAGTATAACCGCTTCAGGACATCGGTTATATATGGCGGTCCTGCAACAGTTAATACAGCACTTTGGCGAAATTTGCTCAGTATTTTGTAGGAATACTAGATACTAGATCGATACCTAGTATTTGGGCGAGTACTCGTACTTGCCAAAATACTCTGATGCCTAGCCCGATACCCGAACTCCCGGTATCAGGAAGCCAGGCAGCGAGGCATTACCCACCCCCCGGCTTCTTGATTGGCTGGCAAGCTGGCTCCATGCCCCTCGTCACTTGGTGACGAGGGAAGATGGAGCCAGCTTCCCAGCCAAACAGGAAGCCGGGTAGGGTGTAATGACTCGCTGTCCAGCTTCCTGATTGGTAGAGAAGCTGGCCAATCTGGAAGCCAAGCGGCGAGTCATTACCCGCCCCCTTGCCTCCTGATTAGCCAGAAAGCCGGCTCCATACTTCCTCGTCACTTGGTGACGAGGGAGCATGGAGACGGCTTCCGTGCTAATCAGGAAGCCAGGTGGCGAGTCATTGCACACCACCTGGCTTCCTTAATGGGACTTCCAATATCGGTATTCAGTATCGGCGAGTACCGAAAAAACAAATATCGGTATTCCATACTGAAAAAACGGTAGCAGTGCATCCCTAGTATTTTGTCACTTTTAATTCCAATTTATTTTACTGCTGCAGATTGTCAGTTTTGTAATATTCTTTTTGTAAATAATTTCCTGCACCATTTTTCTTTTCATTAAAATGATATTGTAGAATTGTTCAAGTGATATTAAAGTCCCCCCGTCCCCCCCCACCGCCCAATGCTGCTTTAGGGACTTACCTTAAGTGATGCCCCTTGATCCGATCATCATCTTCTTTCCAGTAATTTTCAGCAGTCCCGCCAGCACTGGTGCCGGTCTCTAAATCAGCGCTGACTCCTGTCTCTTCCTGTCCCATGGAGTCTGTTCGTCGTGCATGCTCACGGCTGCGTGCATTCACTTACAGGAGTCTCTCCTCTTCTCCCCACCAGTGATCTTTATTGCGCATGCACCCGCACACATCCTCCTGCACCGGCCGCTCGAGCGGCAGAGGCAGAAGTAAGTGTTTACCCATTTGGTAACTTTTTTATTTTTTTTAGATGTTTTTGCATATTTCTACTGCTTGCTAGCAGTAGATATATGTAAAATAATGTGACTTTAATGTCACTTTAACTTCATTATCTAAATGCTCTAATCAGAATCCCTGCCTCTTCGAAGAAACCTACCTTCCTGACAAGAAAGTTACCTTCCTGACAATCACCACCCTCTGTGGGGAGATGATCGGGAAGTGAGCAATGTCACACGTCGGCTCTAACTATGAGGATGAGTGTAACTCACTCACCTCATAGTTCTCCTTTAAATCAGCATTGGGGGAGGGGGTGACGTTAATGTCACTTTAACCCCCATACAGCCAGATTATTGCACACAATACCATTGCGCAGTTAATGCATTGTTTGCGCTGTTATTGGCTCCTTTATTGGTACTCTGATTCTAATATCCTGTTTTTGCTGTACCTGACCCACTGAGATTTTGATTCCCTGATGCTATATGTTATTCTGTCTGGCCTCTGCAGGATTCCGCAATAAATGAGTTTTCGAGGTTGCTTGTAAGCTTTCACCACTGTAGCAAGTGATGTGTTCTGACATTAGGCAATGCGCATTATAAAAGCACACCTGATCGTAAAAAAACATTTTATTTTTCGTACCTAGACCAAAGTGAGCGGTTAACCCTTGCAGTGCAGGTGTAGCCCCACTGCAAGGGTTAATAAAAATGTCCCCCGGAATTCTTCTTTAATACACAAAAAAAATAATATGGGGTAATCTTTGTATCCCATAGTTCTTTTTAGGGTCACAGGAGGACATATATAAACCTCCTCCCGTGACCCAAAGCTCAGTATATCGCTGGCTATTGCCCGCTATATACTGAGAGCACGACAGCCAGGACGGACCCCGACGATACTTTCGAGATCCACCCAGCTGGCTGATTGACAGCGGGCTATGCCTATCTAGAGGCAGAGCCAGCTGTGCCCGCCCCCTCCCCTGTCTGAAGAAAGTCACTGCTCTCTGCAGGGACAGGATCGGGAAGTGAGAGAGCGACCATGTGTGTTCTCTCACTTCCCGATCAATAGAGCCAACCTGTGGCAGCTTCTTTGTCACAGGTCGGCTCTAACTATGCGGATGAGTGGAAATCACTCACCTCATAGATCTCCTTTAATGTTTGGCTGGAGTTTGTCTGTAACATTACTAGCTGACGTTTATCGGCGGTTAGGAGAATTATATTACTGCTGGAAATGACGGGTATACGGCCCCCCTTATTATCTAACTGCAGCCCGGTGCCGTGTGCTCCCCTCCGCTATGGTCTGGCTTTCACTGCGTGGGAAGTAGGGCCGTGCACGGACGATAAATGATCCTCATTCCGAGCTGCGTTTTGTTTCTCACTCATTTCATCCATTTCCATAAAGAGCCCTTTCCTCCGCTTTTCTTATTGTCATTTAGTTGTTGTTGTTTTTTTTTGTTCTATGGCAGTACGGGCCATTAATCACGAAAAGCTCACACAGAGCCGCCTCCTGAGTAGATTTCGAATGTGTAGCTCATAAAAGCTACAGAAAAACAAAACTGTTTGGATGCACCCCCTCTTTCTAACACTGTAGAACTCCCCACTGGGGCCGGAGCCACTGAGTGTAAAGGGAATGTTGGTATTTATGGATCGTCTATTGTTTTGTTGTTTTTGAGCAATGGTTCTTGAGAATAATCCAACAGACCATTCTGGAATCTGGAGAAACTTCGGCAAATGCGGCCATCAGATTCCATGCAGAGAGCTGTCTGTGGTCCCTACTAACTCAGGGTCCATTCACACCACATCCAGATCAACTCCAGACCAAACCAGATTGTTTCCAGGCCCAAAATGCATCCCAATGTATCCCTATGCTATTTCTGTCCTCTGTTCCCACCAACGCAGTCCATACCGGACCAGAAAGATACTGCATGTGTCATTTTGTCTGGTCTGGAACGCACTGGCACACATGGAAATGCATCAAAAATGAATGCAAACACACTGGAGCGCACCTGAAAGCCTATATTAATCTAAAAAAAAAAAAAAACAGCTCCGGAAAGCAGCAAAATGCACTGCGTTCCAGATCTGCTCCGGAAAATGGTGTGAACCTGCCCTAACGGATAGCTAAACCCAAAATACAAAATGTAGCATATTGTAATCTGTCATTCTTTAGATGTGGTGGCTGCATTTGTTTTATTTTTATGTCCATCCTGCCAGTAACACACTTCCTGTCCTAGAGTGACAACACTCACTTACTGTCCTGTGTCATTGGAGGAGCAGAGTTGTCACTCTAGGCTGCTCTCCTCACTGCACCCCTCACTTCATATCTCTATTGCATAGGGAGGAGTGGTTCTGTAGTTCTCAGAATATATAAAATGCTGTGTTACATGTATTGAAGGATGAAATTAAATATGATTGTAAGTACTTGTACTCATACATCCATACTCCTACACTCATCATATCAGCATATTTATTGCTATCTGACTCTCCACTGGGGAGATTCTCTCTCTCTCATTTTTGTCCTGGTGATCATTGTCATCAGGACAGGCAGTGATGGGAAACCCCAAATGGAACAAGAATGCAAGAATGGAGGGATAATCTTGCAGTGGGGCCACCAGGTCTGGTGACATCTACAGAAGAGAGGACTTACCCTCACTTTGGGATGATTTTCTTTCACTTCCTGTTGTTTTTCCAGGACAGAAAGTGAAGGAAAATCTGCTCAATGGTAGCAAATAAAAACCCAACACAGGTTCAAATAGACCTGAGGACAGTGGCCTGTCATTGAATGAAAACAAATGGGTGGAGCCAGCTGTGACATCACAAAAGACTCCATCCGACTGTTTACAGTTGTGCACCGCTCTGCACAAATGTAAACGGGTGGGCGGAGCTAGCAGTGATGTCAGCACGAGCTCCGCCCAATTGTTTATATTACGCCGGCATGTGTCTGAATGTAATTTTGCGGTTGGAGTTCGACGCATGCAGACGAGGCGTTTTTTTTTTCTTCATTTCGACTAGTAGCTATTGTCGTGGACAATCAGCTTCATTTTAAAGCTTAACTGTAAAAAACTGAAGAGAGAAGCTGATTGGTTGCCCAGTTTGTCTGCTCCGGAATCCCCCTCATTGTTTTTGATGGTGCCCATCTTTCATTTTCCTGTTGTAGCCTAAAATCCTTCTAAATACATTGAAGGGAATTGGTCAAAATCTGGAGCAGCCGTGCATGGCAACCAATCTTCTCCTCTCTTTCATTTTCAAATCTTAACTGGACAAACTGAAGAGAGAAGCTGATTGGTTGCCATGCACAGGTGCTCCAAGTTTGTCTGCTCCTGTTTTAAAAATTGCAGGGTGTGACATTCCAGTGTTTAAATCCTAATATTATGGCCGATTCTCTTCTAGGTGGAGCAGTTTAAGCAAGATCCAAGTCCACAGAAATGTCTTCATTCTATTTTCCATGTTGACACCGGTGATGAAATCCTGTCGTATAAGGAGTATAGCCATATCCAGGTAAGATATTCCATCTTCTGATCCTCACAAAAAATATATGCTTTCTTTATTGTCCATTGAGGGACACAGACATTGTAGATTATCGTATTCAAGTGTGACATTCCACGAACAGT